AGCTCCTGAAAAAAAAATAGCTCATTGATACAAGCATTTTCCACTATTCTTTTCTAAGTCAGATGCTCTGAAACTAGTAGCATGCACAAAAGAAGCATCCATGAGATGCACACATTAATGTAGTGAATGAATCTGAGTGTTTCAGAGAAGCCACGAGCAATTCTATCAGGAGGCTGGACTCTATAATAAGTCATACCAGGGTCACTCCATGTGGAATAATCACAACTAAGACACCAGACTAAGATGCTATAAATGTCTTCAGAATTAATGGTGGCATCAGCAGATGAGAATGGAGACTGCTGACTATGTTTGGAAGGCAGAGAAAGTCCTGGAGGGCAGCAGTTGGGATATTTCACATACAACGGGAGCGATGCTCAAGCTAGTGGTAAACCAATGCTGAATATCTTTAAAAATCCTATAATGAAACTTCCTTGAAGCGATGCTCAAGCTAGTGGTAAACTAATGCTGAATATCTTACTTTAAAAATCCTATAATGAAACTTCCTTGTTTGTGTCAGAAGCTATCCAATGGCATTTCCACAGTGAAAGGATCAGTGGATAGGGTGCAGTTATTGCCTTGAGGATGCCTGAATGTGTTTGCAGTTCTAATATTCTTCAGGGAAACGGTCCAAAATAAAACAAGGGATTGTGCTAGCTAGATGTGACCTACAGTTTGGAAAGCACTCAATCAGCTATTGGGGAAGAGTGAAGCAGAGGCATGAATAGCACTGTTGCTAACACTGTAACTAGGTTAAAGCTGAAAGGATATCTAGTAGCTAATGTACACAAATGTGAAAAGAAATTTCAGTGCTGCACAACACATATGAATGGAACATGAGATGTATGAATCAAGGAAAACTAGAAATTATAAAGCAGGAAATTAATGTTTAAACATTACAGTGCTATGTGACAGAGAACAAAAAAGAATTCAAGTGGAAAATTCCAGTCACCAAAAAGTATTTTGCTCTAGAAATAACAAATTCAGAGGAAACAGAGTAGCTATAATACTGATGCAAGATGTAACACAGGTGGTTAGGGGCTATAATGCAAGGTTTGACTGAACAATATCAACCAGAATTTTTGGGAAACTTATCAGCATAACGATCATTCAAGTCTATGTTCTAACAACTGATGCTGAAGAAGAATAAATCAACAGCTTTTATGCAAGCATTCAGTAGGAAATTGATTACAAACCAAAACATGAAGTGCTGATAATCATAGATGATTGGAATGCAACAGTAGGGTAGGGAACAAAGTAGAACTAAACACTGGAGAATTCAGCCTAGGAGTTAGAAACAAAGTACAGGGAATGACTCATAGAATTTTATGGAGCCAATAATTTGTTAATTGCAAATACATTTTTCAGGCAACTGAACAGACAACTGTACATGGGAACATCAACAGATAGAGGAGCTGAAGAAGTTCTCTCTCTGCCAAAACAAGACCATGAATTACTAATACCAAAAATTAGAAATGAAGCTGAAAAAGAACACTAAAACAATCCTAGTTCCAAAGAATAATTTAAATAACATTTCTGATTAATGTAAAGACCACACAAAGAACAGATTTGCATTATTAAACTCAACTCACCATGAACCAAAAGAAGTGTGGTGTGAAATCAGATATATTCTCAGGTAAGAATGCAAAACAAAACAAAAAAACCCAACAACTAACAAACAAAAAAAGCCCACCCACCCCGAACTCTATGCTTGTAGCTAGAAGAAAATAATAGATGACTGAAGAAATACTTGATATTGTTAAGGACAGGGCAAAAGCAAAAATAAAGTCTGGCAGAAGTTGCACCAGAATCTTGAATGCTACTTTTCAACAACTACCATATAGTTTAAAAACAACTATTACAGTGACCAGTGCAAAGAAACAGAAGGGAACAACAAAAATGAGATCTCTTCTAGAAGATCCAAGAAGTCAAAAGGGAATTTATATGGTGCTGCAGGAGTTTTGCAGATACCCCTAGACTGCCAGAAAAACATATAAAAGAAAAGCAAAAATGACAGAACTGTGTGACACTGGAACACTGTGTGACCTTAGAACACTATAAACTTTATAATATGTTGCCCATGTCTGCTTTGAAGGAAATCACACCTGAACAAGACTCTTGATAACCACTTGTCTACTTTACTGTATTTTAAAGTATTGTAAAATGCCTTAGGAACTTTTAACAGGAAAAATATAAATTAAATTTAATGTGTTATTAAACTACCTGATGGGAAACAATGTGTACATCTTGATTGTGTTACCAAACCAGAGCCACCCTAGCAGATGGTGCTGGATACAGAACACAAGAACTCTTTGAATTAGCTCACAACCTTATAATAGCAGATGCATCTCCCCACTAAAGACAGACTGAGGCTCACTATTCCCTGGTGCATAAAAGCAGAATTCCTAATGTCCAGGATTGATTTTATTAGGCAGAAATCTTCACTCAGTGGTAGAGCACTTCATGCATGCAGACCAGTTCCTTGCACCCACTGAATACAGATCGAGTGATAAGATTTGATCGTTTGTTATGTAAAAGATGGTATACATGGCACTAGTTTGCCTGACTTTGGAGTATTCTCTACTCAAAAACCCTGAAAAGGCTCAGCATCGCAGGGCATTGCACTGGTTACCCATCAGATCAAGAACATATTACTGTATAAGGTTCTTGTTCTGACATTTAAAGCACTACATTTCTCTTGCCCTAGCTATTTAGTGGGGTGTCCTATTCCTTGTAGGAGGACTCAATCTGCGGATTCTGGGTTCTTACTAGTCCCTTGGACCAAGGTGGCTGACTCCAGACTTAGAGCATATTCTCATCTGGCCCCAAAATTATGGAATTCCCTTCCTCAATGCCTTTGCATGGAACCAGTGTTGGACAAATTCAAATGAGACTTAAAAACCTACTTGTTCAGCCTGGGACCATAGGGGTTGACCGTGGAAATAGGCAATTATTGGGATAGAATTAGTGTACTTTATTACAGTATATTGTTATTAAAGCTGTTTTGCTTGTTTTTGCCTTATTGAATGATAATTGCTTACTGTATGTTTTTATCATTGTAATTATGTTATGGTTGTATTTTAACTGTTTTTGACTATTGGAATGCGTTCTGGTATAGCGCACAATATATAAATAAATATGATGATGATGATGATCTGGATTTTTCAGATAGCAAATTGTTTCTAGCTGCTGAGGGTTAATTGAAACATGAGTAGTCACTTCTCTGGAAGGTAAATGTTTACTGAACATAATGAAACTGATTTGTCATAAGAGACCCAAGTCTTTTGTACATATGTGGCCATTCTTGGATAGTCATTGTCCTTATCTATTTCCAAATTCATTTGTCATTTACACACCAAGTACTTTTTTTCCTTATAAACAAGGGTAGAACAACCTGTGATGAGGGTTGCAGCATCCTCAGTTCACTGGAAGCCCATTGCCATTGTTCTGCAGAGTTTTGACAGCTGATGGCAACAGCACAGAAAAAGCTGCAACTTCAATTTTTTAAAAGTGGCTGTAATCCTGTTAGTATAACTTTATTCTGCACTACCAGGATGAAGTCATCAGCCCCTAACAGTAATATTCCAAGGTTCCCTACAACTTCCTTTTGCACTGGGGAACTCTTTTTAATAACCAAAAACTGACACCAGGGTCCCAATCCTGGCAATGGCAATTTTTGAAGGCTCCTCTACCATTTCCAAGACTCCGCAGAACAAAAGGGAGACTTGGAAGCTGAATAACAATATTACTGCTACAGGCTGATGCCATCATCCTAGTTGCATAGTGTGAAGTTACACCAATAGGATTTGAAATAATATGCAGTAATTTTATTCAACTAAAGTGTTAAGTGTGATGTGTTGTTACACTCAATGGCAGCCTGCATGTTTTCCACTCTCATTACCATCATGAAAACCTGCATTCTCCCAGTCTGATGCCTTGTTAGCTCCTTTATGAATCACAAAACTAATTACTTTATTTAATCAAGGGCTTTTCTCACCCCAAAGGACCCATGTACCCTAGAGCTGGAATAACAGAGCCATGAGAGAGGAGTAAACTATTGCAGCTTTCTAAAATTATATTTTTTAAAAATCCTAGTGATTGATACTTAAATAAGTTGATGCCCTGTCTTTAAGAAACAGCTCTACCCACATAAGCTTGAATTTATTGAGATGCCCCATGTGGTGCAGGGGATAGAATGACAGACTAGGGACCTAGTTATGAATTCCTGCTTGGCCAGGGAAACTCATGGAGAGTCAGTGGGTGCTGGAACTGGTAATTATCTCATTTACCTTGAAAGCTCTATTAGGGTTACTATAAGTCAGTTCCAACTTGATGGCATATAATACACTCAAATTGAAATTTTCAGGTGAAAAAGCATTGCTTTCTGCCTCATTTAATTGTGGCCATCCTGGCAGACAGTCCACGTCTATCTCAGCTTTTGAACCAGAGATGATTTGCTGCAGCTTTTAAGTATTGGAAGCCAGACATCAGATACACTTTTGTCTTCAAATCGTTTGAAAAAGTAGCTGATAAACTGCAGAATAAAAAGAAGGAACACTCCTCTTAATCTTCTGGTTCTGCTGCTGAAGAAAAAAGGTACGAATAACATTGTCCTCTCTGCCAAATGTTTAAATTCAACATTTGGATATTTGCTAAAATTGCATAAAATGGCTGCACTGACTTCGGTACATTGTTTCTGTCTCAAGGAAGACCAGTGAAAATAAAAATGCAAATTATAAGTGAGCATGCCAAATAGTCAAGCACTGAATGTTGAAATCACGAAAGGAATACAAATGAAGCAGAAAGAGCATGTGTACAGCTTTTAAAGGGGTGTACGTACAGCGTCACTTTCAAAACAGAAATGGAAATCCAACATTATTTTTTATTTTCCTAAAAGTTTTAATAAAAAAAGAGAAAGTAGTAAGAATCTGAAGAGCCCTGAAAAATTTGTAAATACCAAACCACAATTCGTGTCACCTGTTTTTAGTCACAAAGAAACACAATAATCAAAAAAGATATTTAGTTTAATACAAATTTTATACAAAGAAAATATGAAAAAATACTTCCATATGCTAAAAGCAATTATGCTTCACAAATAAGGCCAGCTAGGCTATCTTTGACACAACTGCAATTCACAAATACTCTGTTCTTGATTCCTTTTCCTTCTAGTTTTTCTTCTTTCTTCTAATGTGTGTACTAGCTGGAGACTGTACAAACTGTATCCTTTTATAAACAATGGGAGAAATCAATGTGACTAAAATGTACAACAAAAGGTACTGGAATGATATCATACAGTTAATTTTCTCATATACATACATCACCTTGCTTTGTTCAATGCTTTTGTTTACACAACATACAAAATGGTACTACAGTATAAGTGTAACAGACAGCATTTTCATGGGTTACTTTCTCTCATACTGTACTGTTTTCATGCTTACATAAAAACATAAAAATTCCATAATACATGCTCTAGCCCAGCAGCAATGTCCTTTGCCCATGTTTCCTGGTAAAAGAGTCTTCTCTAGCTCTTGTTCCCTTTTAAAAAAATCCAACATCCTTTGGACAGGTGATTTTATTTTATATTTTTACATACATATATGTGAGTGTGCGTGCGTCCATGTATGTGTACACCGCAACATAACCCAGCAGGAAGCCGGGTCTCCCAATAATCCAATTTTATCCTCTCCGGGATTACTGATCAGTGTTGTTACCAACTGCGCTTAAGCTTCTCCTCCTCTTTGCAATGAATGAAATTTAAAACCTTTTGTGTCTGTAAACAATCTCTCTTCTTTTAAATACGCAACACAAAATACACCCTTTCATGTTGTGTACTTGAGGCCCAATGGCTGGAAATGTAGCAAATTTAAAATGGCCCAGCTTCAGTTGCACACACAGACATGTAGGCATTGTTTTCATTTCCAAAGGCAAGCCGGGGGGGGTTCTGTTTTCTCTTCCCTAATTTTATGTGTGCAACTCCAGTTTCCAAAATACCATTTCTCTCAGTGGCTTTTTGTGATAAATCTGATTTAACCTCTCCTTTACCAACATCCCCAATACTCCTTTGACATTGAAGTCAATACAAATATAGAAAGGAGATGGCACTCTAACATCATCCATAAATTATACATCTTTTACAACAGAAGCATAGATTTACCATGGATTTTATCAGTCCTCAACCTTTTTCGATCCGGTGCTAATGCTTTATATGAATGTAGTGTTGTTAAACGCTTTGTACACATGTACAAAGCTAAAAGTCTGAACCTCTGAGGTTAATCCAACAAACTGTAGGGATTTCTTTTCACATTTCTATTACAGAGATTATTATTTATTCCAAAAGCTGTCCGTATTCTTTTGTTAGCAGCTAGACTCTCCGTACTTGGACAGGCATTGTAGTTTGAACATACTGAACTCCCGTTCTCATTGCCACGGTCCCAGCTGTAGGACTTACAACTACTGGAATGGTCTGTGAATTAAAACCAAGATACATGTCAGAGATCACAAATACATCATAATAGAAGTGCAAGACTGCTTACTGTGCGAAGTACTGAGAAATACACTAACAAAACAATAATAATAATCCTCTACAACAGTGGTCCCCAACCTTGGGCCTCCAGATGTTCTTAGACTACAACTCCCAGAAGCCTTCACCACCGCTTCTGCTGGCCAGGATTTCTGGGAGTTGAAGTCCAAGAACATCTGGAGGCCCAAAGTTGGGGACCACTGCTCTACAATACTACTTTTACAAGCATTTGGGTACAGTCAAAGGAATTTAATACTACTACAAATATGGAATTTCCCTGTTCCTCCAGTTCTTTCAATTTATTTGCAGTACTCAGTTGACAGTGCATTGCAGTATCATTAGAAGTACTGTATGTTTAATTTTCTGAGATACATTGCTATTTTGTTCTTGCACTTAAAAAATAATCTCTCATATATCATTTTACATGAGATATACAAACTCAAATGAGACAGCGATGATTATAGATTAGAAAATGGGTAGATGTTTGTCTTTAAATAGCCCCTAAGCAAATAATATTAATTCACAATGCATCCCCTACCCCACCCCAAAAAGCATCTATTGCTTGTTATCACAATTAGACCATGTGGCAATTTCATAATCTTTAAGATTGCTTAGTGGTTTCAAATGAATGGCAAAGATTTGTGTATAAACAACGTTTCAGTGGCAACATGTGTACAAGTGGAAGTCCATGAACAGTCGGGATGAGAGAATTACTGTACCTAATCTTGCATCAGCCGAATTTCTCCTTCTACTAATAAATGAATATCTAAGATTTGTTCTTCACTGGAGGTATCTACAGTTATGACACAACAATATAAGAAACAACTTGAAGCACCAGAGCCAAGTCCATCCTGTGCCACCATGACTTGCTCATCCAGATTATCATTTACTAGACATGGCACCACATACTGCCATTGGTTGAAATCCTATTGTTTAGGGTAATAAATCACAACTAAAGTAGGCCCACTTAATCAATGGAATTTGATATGTCTTATTCAGCTGTTCATTACATGGGTTAAATCAAATATGTCAGGTGTAACAGACTTGCCTTGCTGACTTTCACTATTACTCCCCTACTGTGGAGAACAATATGAAGAGCTTCCAAAAGAAGTGACTCTATTGTACAAGTTCTTCATGCAATTCAGAACCTCTGAAAATCTGAGGATGGGGCTACATGGACAGCCTTCACACATTGTACAGACTCTTGTTTTCAGACTGTTCCTCACTACATACAAAGAACGATAACTGAGGAGGATGGAGTGGGTGCTTCCCTCTATCCTCTTATTTAATTTAACCCAATTTTGGACACTTTCAACACCAAGAACATGCAACCTAATAAAGTCTGCTCTGTCAACAGCTTCACACAGAAGTCATTCTCATCTTTGACCCTAAGATCCATTAACAATACATACCAGGGACGTGACAAAGCTTTCTATACTATATGCTCTATTATGTTTTCTTCCAATCAGCCTTGCACAAACTATGGAAGAAACTGAGCCCTTTTACAGCTTTAAGATGCATTTTAAAAGCCAAATGTGTATCCTACAGTTCCAACAACATAAAGCTGAAAACTGGCAATTTAAAATTTATGACCCAAAGTCATAAAAGACAAGTCATGGATTTCCACATGCCATGGAACTGTTCAGGCACCAGTTCTCTTAAGCATTAAGAGCACAGTTGTAATAACAGTTTGAAAAGTATATACTGTTAAGTGGTATGGATAAAATTATAGCACATTACTAGCAAACATGGTCAGAAATGAGAAGTAAAATCCACTCCTCATGATTTCTGAGATTCAAATAAACCTCACCACATCTCATATTCTAGTTGCGGCAGAAAAGAAGATAAGCCTCCAATTCTTAGAGCACAACCTTCCCCCTTGCCAGTTCCAAAAGGACAGTGGTTCCCCCGAGGATACGTAAGTACCATTCAGAAAATACTTCCGCATCCTTTCCCTGTACATCCAAAAATGTACATCCAAACTGTATTTTCTCATGAGATTTAAAATTTAATCTCAGTAACTCCAGCACAGTTCCTTTACTGAACATGAAAAATATATTTTAGCAACTAGAGGAAAAGCTAAATTGAGTTCAACTTGTCATAGCAACAGCATAAAAGGAAGTCAAGATGCCCAAGAAGTTAAATGTACATGAAATAGGAGACAGGGCTGACATATTCTGTCCCAGTTTTCTTGGTTTAGGTCAGAAAGCAGCTTCTTCGCAATGCACACAGTAGACTAATCAAACATTAGTCCTTCTAAGAGGAAATCACGGAAATCTATTGGACTTCTGTTAGTTGTGATTATGAAATTCCATTCATTTCAATGGGTTTACTGGAAATAGGATTAATGCTGGATGTAGCTCTATGTTGCCAATTATGTTCACAATTATGTTCACAAAACAACAACTGAAAAGATGACCAAATATTAATGCTTTTCCTTTCTTTGTAGTGAGGTGGAGAGACAGCTCTGAAAGCTACACTGAAGATTAGTATATATTTCTAGAGACAAATTGAATCTGAATCCTTGGCTGACCTTCTGATGAGGATGTATGGCATAAAAAAGATGGAAATGTACAGCAAAATAAGGCATTTTGCACTGTAAATTGACCAGTGAATTCATATTTTGACACCAAAGGAGAAACCCCCACCCCCAACAGATGTTGACCTGTTTCAATGTCAAGAGCAGTACTTACAATTGTGGGTTGAGTAGTTGGCATATAGGTGGTAGTCTGCGGTACCTGGACAAGTTTTATAGGCTGGCTGCTTGTCACACCTGTTGCTATCTGCAGAGACAGCACAGGTAACCTCAGTGAAAGGTTCAGTTTTTACATAAATGCCACCTATTTATTATCAAAACCTTGGATCCAGACTTTGCCCTTCCAGTTACGGAAGGGTTCCTTCCATCTGTAGAAAGTTTTTCATCCAGCAGAATATTTCTGCTGTTAGAAAAAGAGAAAGTCTTAAAAGTAACAAGTATGTCTTATTCTCGCTGGTTCCACTCTACCACTGCAGCCCAATATTCCACCAGAAATCTGCTCCAGAAGGTTGGGGGTTTCTCCAGAACATAATGAAAGATGGTACTAGGGGCTACAAAGAAGGCTGGAGGGAAATCAGCAAAAATCACATCCATCCTTCCCCTCATTCAGGAATGTCCTCATGCTGATAGAAACAAACTCTAGATCCAACCCACAGAAATTTGCCAGATGCTTCACTTTTGTTAAAATTTTGCATCACAATGAATTCACAGGTTAGATTTTTGTAATTAAAAGAAAAAGTCAAAATATGAATGTGAGAATGTATAACAGCTTGATGTTTCAAAAAGGTATAAAATATATATAAGCAATTTGAGATTTTCAAAGTGGAATATTTCATGAGAGAAATCTAAAGCACATAACATTTAGTTTGCAAGTAATTCCCAATTGTAACAAGAACATCACACTTGTTTTTTTTTGGGGGGGGAACCCATTATGTATCCAATTAGTCAATGATTCCTGATAGGATACACCACCATTTCCCACAATGTTCAGTGTATTTTAAACTACACACCAAACTAAGGGGTTTTCTTGCCAATATTTTCAGGATTTATGATTTTTTAAAATATATAAAGTCTTAAGCCAATCTATCTGTTATCGCTAGAGGATCTTAGAGGTCATGAAGGGTTATGCTCTTGACCTTAACTCTTTTCTTGAAACATAACTCAAATGAGGCATCGTGATAAAATTTAAATACTGAAGAACCAGAGAACATGTCACTTCTTTACACTAAAAGGAAAAGATAAACAAGAATGCCAGTTCTTAATAAAGTTATCAGTTTGATTGTGGGCTTTAGTAATGCTTCAAAAGTGGAATGATAAAGTATAACCAATATTCTAATCCATGCAATCTAAAGGCCATTGTTAAGTGTATGCTTGATTCTTGGTTTAGGTATCCAAATGTCTGCCAATCCTACAGAAGAGTTTTGACATGCAATCTAAAGGCCATTGTTAAGTGTATGCTTGATTCTTGGTTTAGGTATCCAAATGTCTGCCAATCCTACAGAAGAGTTTTGAACCCTCAACAGTAAAACCTATTTCACATGGACCACAATTGAGAACTATGCAAAATCCTGTTGGCATAAAGTTATACTGCATTAACAATATCCAATTCCAACAATATTTAATTTAAATGAACTGAAAAGTCAAAAATTGCTGCCAGATCACTGTTGTGGGGATTGGAACCACCACTAGCAATCCTGTGACATTTTTGACTATTAAAGTTTCCCCAAGGCTTCCTCCGGGTAAAAGGGAGCTTTAGGGAGCTGCAGAACCTGAAGGAAGACAGGATTAGCAATTTCAATTAATTTCTATTAAATATTTTATCACCAGATGAAGTTTACACAGCATAACTTTATGACAACAGAATTCTGATCAACATTATGATGCTTGTGGATATGTTATAAATGTAATTATAGTTATTTTATTTGTTCCTCAAACTGCTTTGAGCACAATGAATTGCAACTGAGTTACTATTATTATGCTAAGTTATACCTGTAATTACAGTTATATTATTTGTCCTGTGAACTGCTTTGAGCACAATTTGTAAGCTGCCTTGGGCCCTGATACTGGGGGAAAGGTGGCACAGAAAAAAAAGAGCAAATAAATAAGCTATGAATAATACTGGATTGTGTAAGGATCTGACAATTTCAAACCAGCGTTTTGGCCATGCTACAATCAATTTGGAATATGATTTATAAGCAAGATCTAAAAAACACATACATTCTTTATGATTCAGAGCAGTCCCTACCTGATGAGCCACAATAGCTGCCTTGACTTATTCTGATTGTGCAAGAAAACTACAGGAGATATCTTTAGGTACCGGGATTTCAAAGGAAGTGGCAGCAAATATCAATATGTGAGGAAGTGAAGAAATTTTTCTCCCTTCCTTTGAGAAACAATTCTATAAAGAATAAGGAAACTGTTCTTAGCAACCCCCAATAAAGGCAAAACAAAATAAAAATTTAGGACTTTGATGCAGCCTTACGAATTTAATAAAGAGTAGGCTCCAAACTGAACAAAGTACTTACTGTAACACTATCTTTGTTCTTTTCAACAGTTGCTTCTTTTTCTTTTGGAGTATTGGCTGTTTCGGCAGGTGCAGACTGAGCACTGGAAGTAGGCTGGGATGATTTATTTAATGGTTCTGTGCTAATTTCAGTATCTGTTTCTTGCTGTGTTGCAGTGGCTAAAATAGAAGCAAACAGACTTTCTATCACATCTACAAAGCAGGAATCATTGCAGAAGTTGGGCTGAGACTGACCCTTATTACATAACCAAAGAAGGAAAATGTTACAGTTTGTAGTAATTACTGAACAATAAGCTTAACGAGCCATTGGATTAAGGTTTTTCTAAAAAAATACTACATGGTTGGCTTTACAATAAGTGCAAAGGGGAGAAGTAGGAGGGAAGCTTTGTTTTACATATACCATATTTTTTGCTCCGTAAGACGCACTTCCCCCCCAAAAAAAGTGGGGCGGAAGTCTGGAGCGAAGGCGGCGATTTTGCCCCCACTGGCCCCGTGGGGGGGAGCGTCGCAAGGGTCCAAGTGAGCCTTCCAGAACCCTTGTGATGCTCCCCCACCCCCCCACGGGGCCAGTGGGGGCAAAATCTTGACCTTCCAGGCGGGGGTGGGTAAGACAGCTCTCTCTCCTCTTGCTCTCGCTAGCGCGCTCGCTCGCTTTCCAACCTCAGCCTTGAACAAATCAATGGCACCAAAATGTCTGCTTTAGATATAGATGGATGAATGGAAGGCTATAGGTCGAGCGGTCTCACCGTATCCTCAATGCCAGAAAAGATGGCGAGGGAGCGGAGGGCGAACCGCAGAGCCCAGCACTAGAGGGGAGGGCCTGCCTGTAGCCTGCGTGAGAGCAAAAGGGGGCGAGCGGTAGGGCTGGCAGGCGACTGTCAAAGGTGCAAGGCACGATGGGGTGGTGTTTTGTCATGAGGTGGCAGGCAGTTGAAGGGGGAGAGAAGAGAGGATGATGTTGTTTTTTACCAGTGATGCAGAAAGGGATGGTGAATGAGAGAGAGAGAGAGAGAGAGAGAGAGAGAGAACGCGCCTTCCGAGCAGTGTCTCCCTCCCTCCCCGCATTGCCGGACCTATGGCCACAAGCCTTCCCACGCCGCTGTGTGCTGCTCTGCAGAGCGATGCCGCCGCTGCTGCCGGGCTTTGTGGAGGAGCCATGAATTTGAAACAACTCGAGTCGAGGAGGCAGAACGTTGTTGAGGAGTGAGGTGCCGGGGGGGCTGGCAGCGGCGGGGAGACCGAGGGAGAAACCATGGGCGAGGGGGGGCATCGGGCAGAAGAGAGGAAGCACCAGTGCTGGATCAGCGTCTCTTGACAGACATGCAGAGAGACTCCCTCCCCTCCTGTCTACCTGCTGAGGGACATCAAGGCTCCTCTTTCCATCGTCCCCTCTAGGAAATGGCAGGGACTGATGATGGATCAACACTCTTGTCTGTTGACATGTTGCTCACTGAGCATCTTAATATTTCTCCCTCATCATCTGCTTCCTAATGGCAGATTTAGCCCAATAAGTGAATTAGTCAAACTGCCACGTTTATCCTATTTTAAATGTGAATGAATAAAATGTAACAGAGATTTTTACACATAGTTTTTCCTTCTAATCCAACAACAGGAAAACTACCAGCTTTTGTATAACAGAAATTTAAATTCAGGGATCAGGCATGTCTCCAACAGGTAGCAAGGAGCAATGCCTCCCTATATCCTTGCTAACCCTACTTTTTAATGGCACAATATCTGCCTGATATGTGTGTAGCAAAATCCCTGTTCTGCAACATAATGGTGTTTGTTACTCCTTTACTCCTCCAGTCTAGTTTTTCTGGAGTTACCCCAGCAGATATCTAACCTGCTTGGAATTTATTCATTTATATTTATTTTTAGTAACCATATTACTGTGTGTTTTCTATGCAGTCCACTACATCTAAACCAACATGAATTAATGAGAAAATTATTGCTATACTGTTACAGCTGTAGCAAAATTTTAGGAACCCCCCCCCCAAGTTTGATAATGAGTTGCTCATGGATTATAGCATTCTCTGTTGCATGAGCTGTGCATTGCTTCTGCTTCTTACTT